AGTGTGGAGGGAGCAGAAACTGCACCCAGGGGCTGCCGGAGCTTAAATACCTTCCTGGCATTGCCCTTAGCCCCTCTGCTGCTGCTGGCAGCTGGATGGAAGGGGCCAGGAGCTGTACCAGGGTGGAGGGGCTCCAGGCTGTCCAGGCCAGAGTGTAGTTTTTCCCAGCAAAGCACCTGAAGGATCCCAGCTATCCGGATGCGAGCTGACTGTCGGTTGGAGCATTGCTCCCGTATCGCTCTCTGGGAAGATAATTTTCTTGGATCTTCTGTTTTAAAATGTCCAGCCTGGCGATGCAGAAGAGGCTGCTTAGTGCGTATGCTGGCCAGTGGGTAGGGGAAGGCTGGGATTCAGAGCATGGGTGGAGAGGCCCTAATTCCCCTTTCCCCCTTTTCCTGCAGTTGCAGAGGCACGTGGGGGCCTCATGTTCCTGTTTTGGGGATCCCTGCATCTTGCACGCCTGGCTGCAGGAGTTCCCCCAGTTTAGGGAAGGACAAGCAAAGGTCAGGCGGGGAAGGGAGTCGATCTTTGGCCGTGCGCTAACTCAGGCAACCCACAAAACCAGAAGTTAGAGTGGCTGGGGAAGCAGAGCACATCTCCACACTGCCTGGGGAGGCGGAATGTGCCCGGCTGGCGTTGTTCCCAGTCCTGTCCCGCTGGAAGGCTGGCATGGTGTGGAATCCCGGCTGCAGCCGGGAGCGGGACTGCTGGCGGTGGGGCTGGAGTGGTAGCCTGGCGAGGAGGGCGAGCGTCCTTGCCGTGGCTGCAGGAGGGTGAAACTTGCGACTGTGAGCGCATCGTGCCCAGGCACGGAAAAGTATCTTGTTTTCTCTCCCGCCTGTGGGTGTCTTGGGTTGCTGGTGGGAGTTGGTCCAGGCTGACCCTCGCTTCCCGGGCAGCAGCGGATGAGAATCGTGGAGCTATTTACTGCCCTTGTGTACGTGGAGCTCGGCGTTTTCCCATATGCTCCCTGCACATGCTGTATGGATTTAAAACCCCTTGGGGACTGGCATGCATTTGGAGGCCACTGCTTGCCAAAAAACCTCTCTCCCCTTTAAATTCAAAGTTACATAAAGACTCTTGGGAAGCTGAAAAATCCCGTAGCCAGAGCAGGCTGTCTGCCCATGCCTGCCTTACCTCCCTAACCTCCTCACCCAGGCTTGCTGCTGCCCTCAGGGATTTGGCCGGAGCTTTGCTGCCTGGGATGGGCTGGGGGCTGCTGGGGGTGGATTTTGCTGATGCAGTGTGCATCATGTGTCCCCTAGGCTGGGTACCCATGGCCGCTCAGCAGGTCAGGGTGATGCAGCGAGGATGCTTGATGGAGGGGTCCTGGTCCCACTCCTCTGCCTGCATCCCAGCTTTCACAAGGGGCATCCCTTTGGCTTTGCCTTCCCTGTCAGCACAACCATCCTCACTGGAGGCCCCCAAGGGTGGAGAGGAGCCAGTGCAGCCCTGCTTCTGCCTTTCCCTGGGCAGAGCTTGCAAAGGCTTCTCCAGTACCCACGGGCGAGCGCTGAACCAAGGAGGCAGCTGGCTGAGGCAGGCGCCTTGTCTGAGGTAAGGCAGGACAAAAAAATGTGGGGATTTCCCGAAGACGTTCCTGCAGGAGGAGGAACAGGGCTGGCAGGTGGGTAGTGTGTTTGCTGGAGGCTCTGCTATGTGAAGTGGGCCGCTTTCAGGAGCCCTGACCCGTTTGCTTTGGCACTGCCTTGGCTAGGAGGTGTTTTGACTCCGGGGAAGGCTGGGGTGCAGGATTCGGCCCCTCCTGCCTTGCTGCCAAGCCTTTTTCTTTTTGAAGCTAGCGCCGGGGTGAGGCGGGGAGCTCGTGCTGGCATTCCGCGTGTCTGAGATGGCAGCAGCAGGGATGGATGGGGAGCTGGGATGCTATGCTGGCTCCCGCTGGGTTTGTAAGTGCTGCTGTGTAAGATGCAGAGGACAGACAGCCTTGGTTTTGGTCTGCAAAGCTTGTTCAGATGCAGCGAGGGGCTGCATGCCTTGGATGTGTCTCAAGTGCCTTGCGTAAGTGTGTAAGGGATTTTAGGGAAGCATCAGCTCATCCCTTTTCTTGGTTGGTGAGGTGGGGTGGTTGGGGCAGGATTTATGAGGGATGGGGCCTCCGAAGCTGCCATAGCTGACGGAGTGGGAGATGGCTGATGGTCATATGGGAGGTCCAGCATGTCGAGGCATTGGCAAAAAACTAATCTCTCCTGTTTTCTTCCAACAGCCACTGCAGATTGACGACAATTTCTGCGGCCAGGATTTTAACCAGCCACTGGGTGGGACTGTCACCATCGAGGGGACGCCACTCTTCGTGGATAAGGAGGATGGGATGACCTCGGTGGCTGCCTATGACTACAGAGGACAGACCGTTGTCTTTGCGGGCACGCGGAGCGGGAAGATCAAAAAGGTAGGAAAGCTGTTGGTAATGCTGATGGGCAGGGACGGCTGCTCGCCTTGGCTGGCCCTTCGAGGGTACAGGTGGGGCTGTGCCTCCGTGATAGCATGACTTGGTATATGGCGGTAACATGCAAAGGTCCACTGAGGGGTAATTTCCAATTGCTGCTCTTTGCCAAACGATTTTACAAAACCTGTCTTTTGGAAGGGTTATAACCTCGGGAAGTTGAGTCCTGACTGCTGGTGGATCAGTATGTCTCAGTGGATGGGTTTGTGCTGTCGCTGCCCTGGGGTGGTCTCTGTCTGTCCAGGCCCATATGGCGCTGCTGCTGACCTGGGCAGGGTGGGCAGAGGTGGGTGCTGAAGGCTCCAGCACGGTGTGGGGCAGACTGCTCTTCCCGTACCCCGCCTCAGCACAAAAGGCTGCTGCTTGGTGGCAATTAGCAAATAGCTCCGTGCGTGCCTTTTTCCGCCTGCATCTCCACAGGGCACGGATTTCCTGTTATCATAACATCGTGCCTATAATTACAGCTGTACATGCCCTGTATAAACACAGCTTGCGTTAACTGCACCCTCAGCCAGGGAAAGGCAGTGCCAAGGTCCTGGTATAGTCCCTGCCAGGGGCAGGAGGACCAGGGCTTGGCTGGGGGAGGGGGCTGGCCCACTGCTTGTGAGGTGCTCCAGGACCCTGTCCTGGGCACAGCACCCTGGATCTTTGCAGGTTGTGCTGGTGAGGGTGGCTTCCCTGGCAGGAACTGGGGGCAGAGTGCTGTTGCAGGGGGCAGTTCTTGAATGTACCACTTGCTCTGTGTTTCCCCTGGGCCCTCCACCTGCCTGCAGCCCTGCCTGTCAGCATTGTGTTTAGGGGCAGGGGAACATGGGCACCATGTGTTGGGGGGTGAGGGGCAGGATGTTGGTGGTCCTCTCCAGCCCTCTGCTTGGCTTTCTGCAGTCCTTGGGGGGCGACACGGTGGCGCCAGGGCTGAGCGGGGCTGCAGGGAGCTGACGGAGGCAGCTTGTCCTCCCTTCCGGATCGATGAGGGATCTGGAGGGACGGGTGTCGTGTTGCTGGCGGCTTCTCCTGCTGCTGGGCTCCAGATGGGAGGTTTTAAATGGGGATGGGAAGGAAGAAGTGTGTGGGAGGAGGGTTCACAAAGCCAAGGGGACAGTGTTACACCTCCAGCTCCATATTTATCTAGAGAGGCTGGCAGTTGCTTTGTACATGGCAGATTTGTTTTTTCCTCTCCCTCCCTTTTTCAGTTTTTCCTCTGATCTTTGCACCCTCAGAGCCACTTGGAAGTCTAGGCTGGGTGCCTGGCCAGGGTGCAGGCTTTGTGCTACAGGGATAAGGCTGAGGCTGGAACTTGGAGCCCACGTCTGGCTTCAGCCTCCCCCTCTCTTGTAGTGCTTCCCCAAATTTCTTTTTGCTGGTTTCTAAACTTTTTGCCCCAGAGAGCTGGTCTGGTGCTGTGGCCCTGCAGGGCATGAGGACATGGAGCAGGAGCTCCATGGGGAACAAAGAGATGGGTCTAGCTCCTGTCCCAGCACCAGGACTCCGGGTAGGTTTGGAGGCTCGTCCTGCCTGGAGTCCTTGTAGCCCCTGGATCAAGAGCAGCGTGGGAGTGCTGTGCGGGCTCTGAGCCCTGCATTGCCGGGTCCGGAGCCGTCCCTGCTCTGACCTTGGGGTGGGCAGCTCAGCCTTTCTGCAGCAGGGGCTGCCTGGCCCGGCTGGCAAAGTGCTGCCTCAGCAGCTACCTGATCCAGCCTCTTGGCTGCTGGAGGGGGGGGAAGGCTCCCCCCAGCATGGGGGGCTGCCCCCCTGGCCCGAAACAGTGCTGATGTGTCCCCAGCTGAGGGACAGGACACCTCGAAGGGGTACAGCAGAGTGTGGCCAAGGCAGCTCCCCCCAGCAGAGGTGCAGAAGGGATGCATCCCTCAGCAGCAGCCTCAATCCCTCTGCTTTCGAGCCGTCGGCATTTCCCCCCATCCGCAAGGCAAGTGCCTGTGTTAAGTTTGGCAGCAGCCTGGTGGCTTCTCTGCCCTTCTGCTGGTCCCCCCCTGCCCTTGCCAGCACCCCATGGCATCTCCTTTGGGGAAGGAGGGCTGTGCCGACAGCTGGGTGCTCCCCTCCCCATCCCCAGGAGCCCTGTCACGGATGCTGCTCTGCTGAGAGGGCACCGATTTCGCCATCTGGGCCGGGGTAAGGTCAGGGCAGAGTCACTGCTGTGTCTGGATTTTCCTTGGATGGCAGCTCCCATGCCCAGCATTTGTCCAGGCTGTTTCCTGCAGACAGAGCCTCCCTTTGTCCCTCCCTCCCGAAAAGCCACACAAGCCTCTGGCTGCCCCGCACCCTCTCCCCTCG